ACACTCTTTTTCCTCTCCGCCATGTACTTTAGCCTCATGTTTTCCATATTAATAACCCACCCCCACACTCCCCAAAACACACTCAGCCTGTCATGTTCCTGTTCTCTCTTTCCCCCTCAGGACCTTCCTCTCAGCTATGAAGTGAGCTACAGCCTGTCTAGCTCAGCCCAGGTGGAACCAGTCGTCATTTATCAAGGTCTGCGGCACACAATCAAATTCCAACTGCCTGCTGGTCGAGCAGAACAGCGCTATGAAGGTAAGATCTTATCTCCTCTCTATAATGTATATAGATCTAATATGTACTCCGTCTCCTTTAGGACAAGAAATTTATTTTAGTTTTTTTCCAGTAACGTTTGTAAGCTTTAACAACTCTTGACTACTTGTATGCCCTTGCCTTAGGGTAAAAAACTTTGCTTCATTTGCATATTGCTTTTATGTGTCTAGTTGAAGATATATATTGCTTTTGCCAATTAATATGTTTTGTGTGTCTTTTTATAAACTAGTTCAGACTTTCAGCTGTAAAGCCTTTTTGTAAGTTTGCAAGTAGTTTATAGTGTAGAAAGGGGCGTATGTTAAGAAATGGATCCTGTCTATAGTTTTGACATTTTGGTACGGTTGAGACCTATCTTCCATTAACCTTGTACAGTATTGAATAAGGCATTATAAGGCGTGTGTTGAAAATGCAAACCTGTCTTTAGTTTTGGATTTTTTGTATTATAATGACTATGAGTGAAATCTGTTTTCTCTGCAGTTTTTATTTAATGCTGCTTTTCTGACTTATTTTGGGTTAATTGAAAGGATGACATGTATGTTTTAAAGTTATCTTTGACGGTGCCGCACGACCAGTCCTTTCAATCCTTCATCAGTATTCAGTCTGCTTGAGTCATGGCTGTCCTTAACGCAATGCCCCCTGTCTTACTTTCTCTCGTCGGTCACGCACGCACGCACGCGCACACATAGATACTCACGCCCCTACACACTACTCGCATACACTGTTGGGTCCAACATCTGTTTTCCCACCTTTTTTCTTGCTCACACTTCTTTCTCCCTCTCTCTGCTTCTCTCTCACTTTCTCTCTCTTTCACTTTCAGTCTCTCTCTCT